TATAAATCTCATGAAATGTAGCTCACAAAGTGTGCTATCAATGAGATGTAAATTGTGGAGTGAGTTACACATGTTTTAAGATTTTAAAGTAGTTTAAGTTTTTTATGTTTGGAGTGTGTTGGGATGAGTTTGTTGGATTTGAAGTGTGCTCGGTGAGTGTGAGATGTTGAATCAATTTGAGTTAGAATGAGCTATAAACATGTTGGCATGCTTGAGATTATTTAGGAGTACTAGAGCAAGCTCTCTAGAGTAATGATTATGAACTTAAACTACGACCTTGCATTTAATTTTTATTTATAATTGTTAATAGTTTGTTCATGTTTTTTAATTATCGTTGTTTCAATGTACAATGGTAAACACACAAGAGATCCCTTCGAATTAACTAGGTATGTATGATTTATTTAATATTATAAAACCATATTGAAACTTACTGTGTTTTGCATATTTGGTTATTTGTTGTATCGTATTTTACATTTAATTATTAGTTTGTATAACTATCTAGCATTTATTAGTTGATTTTTTATTTAATGTCATAGTTTGTTTCGATATGAAATATAGATTAAGCCATGAAACTTAGGTACACTTTAGCAGCAAAAAATATATATATATATATATCCATATTATGTTGAATATGGATCATTCGTTCCTTGTATATTTTGGTACATTTTGGCAACTTCGTGAACTATTTAACTAGGGCTACGTTAAAAAGAGTCGAGTTGGTGACATTGTATATATAACATTGTTTCCGCTAAAATACCAATTTAGTTTATTTAAGTTCAATTGGGGTAAGTTGTGCGTTTTGAGAATATTTTGGATTCTTTGGCACTACTTAGTCACTATGCTTCAAGTTAATTTTTGATTACTTTACCGCTAATTTGCTTCAAAGTGAAGTTTGTTTAGCTAAAATGTAGTGGAATGAGTTAAAGTATACCACTATTTGTTCACACCATTTTATTTTTCTTTTATTTTTTCAGGTTATTTTGATTGTTCTCTCAGAAGTTTGGAAATTAAAGAAGGTTACATGAAGTCAAAAGAGGGTGGGACTTTCTAGAATAGGTTTAGATTTACGCTGTAATCAAAATTTAGCTTATTGTGTTCGACTTCCTGTACTAGAAGGATTGTAAAATCACTTTTTGTTTAATATAAATCTAAGTTTATATGATAATTTTGAACATGTGTTTATGGTATTTGATTTAAATTTGAAGAAACATTTAGGTAACAATATTATAATAAAAGAAGAAGAAGAAAATGCGTGTGAATATTTTAGACAAAATTGAACCTTTGGCGAAATTTAATTTTTGTCGCCAAAAGTCATAGATAACGACAGGGCTTAACCGACAATATTGGTGACTACAAAATTCCATCCCAAAAACCTTTTCGCGACGATTTTTTAACCTTCGACAATGATTTCGTTCATCAACAAATCTGAAAATTCTTGTAGTGTTCGTCATAAAATGAGATGATGGAGGTGGAGTATCAACCTTAGGAGGGGGAATGTGGGGGAATGTGGGTAGAGATAAATGATGATAAATTTTGCCCACAATTTAATGAGTTGTACGACTGAAAGCATGGATTCGAGAGTGTCAAATTGAGGGAATCCTACCAGGATGGATGGGTAATTGAACAGGTATGAATGATAACAGTGACAATCAATGTTTTGTTTGTCACATAAGCTAACTAATTTACATAAACCCTCAATTATTTTTAATTAAAAATGGGAAGGAAAATTACTTTTTTTTTTTCTAATTTCTTAATTTTATGAATGCTTGATAGAAGCCTTCACTCTATCTAACTTCTCCAAAATATTTTTTAATACGTTGGCCATTGACTTTTAAAATATTTCCTTTTAAATCTTCAAGTTCAATGACAACCTAAGGTAAAATTTTTTAAATTCTAAATGGTCTAGATCACCTGGACTTTAGTTTTCTCGAAAATAACTTTAAATGAGAGTTAAAAAGTATAACTAAGACACATTCTTCAAAAGATTTAGGTATAAGCCTCCTATAGTGTCGTTGCTTAGTTTTTTCTTAAAAAAATTTTGCATCTTCATAAGAAAAATTTTCTATGCTCCTTAAGTTCCATCAATTAGAGCTTCCTTGATTCACCCTCAGAACAAAGGTCAAATTACAGTCTCTTAGTCGTCTAAAATGCTTTATGTTCTAATTCTAATGGTGAATGACAAGCTTTACAAAAAAAAAATTAATCTATAAGGAGACATGAGGAGTTTTATAAGTTATACTATATGGCTACAGAGAATCATCTAACTTTAGACTAATCTTTTCTATTAATATTAATAGTTTTCTATAAAATTGACTGGATCTCCCTGTTAAATACCTCAACTGACCCATTGGATTACTTAAACAATACTTTTTACTGCTCTATTAAAAAAATTGAGTCTCCTCATCACTTATGAGACATTGTGAGGTTCAATAACAAGTAAAGATATACTTTAATAAAAATATAACAACTGCCCTAGCATCATTAGTAGGAGTTGCAATTGCTTTTATTCATTTGGAAACATAATCGACAGCTAACAGAATGTAATTCTTAACATTCAAAGAAGGAAACGGGCCCATGAAATCAATAGAGGTTTGGAGGCGTCTCATTAAGTTTCGAGATGTTACCTGTCTATCACAAACCTGAGTGAAGTTATGTGCATCACGGAATAGAGTGGGCCAAATGAACCCCATTTGTAGTACATTCGTCGTGGTCTTTCGTCTTGCAAAACGACCTTCATATGGAGACGTATGATAAGCCTCCAGGATTGCTGTTTGCTCTTCCTTCGCCACACACCTGCGAAGGATCCCATCAGAATCAAGTTTATATAAATAGGACTCATCCCACCTATAGTATCTAACATCATAAAGAAACTTCTTTACCTGCTGTCGACTGAATACATAGGGAATAATACGACTTACTAGATAATTAGCAATATCAGCATACCAAGGGACATCTTCGATATGAAGAAGTTGTTCATCTATGAGTTGCTCCTACATCCCTGCTTGATCTTCTTGAAGTGGGGACTCAAGCCTAGACAAGTGGTCAGCGACTTGATTCTCTGTTCCTTTTCGATCCCTTACCTCAATATTTTGAAGTAGCAAAATCCAGTGTATCAAATGTGGTTCCACATCCTTCTTTGCAAACATGTACTTTAAAGATTATTAATATTAGTATTAAATCTATATTAGTGATATTTTATTGATATTTTATTGATTTTTTAAAAATATTTTTTTATGCTTTTTACAATATTACGGAAATATTGATCTACCTCTTATCTTAATGTCGTATCCATACACATATAGAAAATCTACATATATGGAAATGGAAATGTCAAAAGAAATTGAATACCCTAATAATATTTTCATAAAATTAAAATCTCGACATTTTGATTGATATCAATATTTAAATCGTTAGACCTCGAATTCGTGGAAACTTGCTACTTGCTTGTCTTCTTCTATTAGGTTTGGTGATTCCAAAAATACATACGTAGTCCTACTCAACTTCTAGCTGAACATTGCGTGTATTCTTTTTGGTCCCACGCGGAATCATTAAACATTCATGAACACATAACTAATATTAAGAATTACTATAAAAATAAATGACTATTTTAAGGAATTTTCCCAAATAATGCTACGTCTATTATATTTTTTTAGTTTGGTACGCTACGTCTATTATTATTATTATTATTTTGAGAATAATAATGCTAACGTTTTTAATAACAAGATGGGTTAATTAATCATATATTTAATATGGTATCCTTCGCCACTTATATAATTACTATACTTATACTTTAAATTGTTTTATTTTACTCTTTATACTAACATGGTATTATGCAGCCAAAGCAAACACAGTTCAGCGATACTTGGTATATATCTCCAAGCAAAAGATATTATGCGGTTGCATTATTATTAAAATATTTTAGTTTAGGTTGCGTTTTTAGTCTATATGTTTAAACCTTAGTTTTAATTTATTTTTTATGTTTTAAAAAGTTTTATTATTGCCATCCTTATAAGAGATTTAGAGTTTAATAGATATCCCTACCATTAGTGGAAAATAATTAAAAACATATTAAGTTAAAATAATATTTTAATGGTATATTTTTAACTTTTGTTCATTTTATTTGATCTCAGTCAAAACATATGTGTTGGACACTGTAAACACATAGTAGTTTGAAATTTCGTTTACTGTCTTTTGAAAAGTTAGTTTTAGTTTGGTACTTATACCTTTAAAATTGACAATTTTGATTAATTCATTTTATTTTTATCTTATTTCTTTCCATCATGACATGTCACACACTAAATTACTTGAAATGTAGTCGTAAAATTGTATTAAAGATCGGTTTGCACTGTTTATCAAATTTTGTAAATAGAGACAAAATAGTAACTTTTTAAAAGTGTAGAAACAAAAACAAACATTTTGAAAAATATGTGGACTAAAATGAACAAAAATTGAAAGTAAGAGAGTCAAAATTGAAACTTTAAAAATACCCGTACAAAGAACTTAAGTCGGAAGTCCAAGAATCAAAATAATATTTAAACAAAAAAATATAAATTATTTGTAGCTGCACTCTAAAAACGACGTCATAAAATCCAACCGATGATATCGGTTGAACTCTAAAGCAAGATTAGAACTCTAGCACACTCGTTCTATTTTTCCAGTTATAATGTATATTGCATTAAAACGTTACTCAAATTTTACATTTCTCAATCAAATTACTCCCTTCATTTCAAGTTCATGGAGTACTCAATCTCTAAAAAAACTTATAAAATTGTGAAACCAATTAAAATAAATTTTTGTTGATGGAGTAGAGACATACAAAACATGAATGCATGATGATGCATTTATTTGACTGAAAAAAGGTTTAAAACGACAAGTCTTGCCTGGCTGTAACCCCATGGGATGCCCAGCAGGCTTTGCTTACTCCACTTTTTGGCTCTTCCTCTCTATAAATACAACTTCTCATTTCCATGGAAACTTCAACCTTTCTTTTCTTTGTTTTCATGGCCAAAGTTGGTTTCAGTTCAACGCTCCTTTTCGCTCTATCTAAGGCAGTGCTGCTGCTCGGTATCACCGCCACCGCCGTGCATGGCCAAGGCACGCGCCTCGGCTTCTACGCTACCACTTGCCCTCAAGTCGAATCTATTGTTGCATCCACCGTCAGATCCCATTTTCTATTAGATCCGTCGATGGCTCCTGGGTTGATTAGAATGCACTTCCACGACTGCTTTGTTCGCGGGTGTGATGCTTCTGTGCTCATTGCTGGCCCCAATACTGAGAGAACGTCGGTGCCCAACCTTTCTCTAAAAGGATTTGAGGTGATCGACGATGCCAAGTCGCAACTCGAAGCTGCTTGCCCTGGCATCGTGTCATGCGCTGATATTCTTGCTCTCGCGGCTCGTGACTCTGTGGTTTTGGTAGGTTTGATTATGAATAATGTTTATAGAGACTTATTTGCTAATGTTCATGTTTATTTATTATCAACATCATTTAAAAAATAACGTGGGATCTAATATAGGAAGGAAATTTTATWCAATAAATAGTTACGTTTGGTTGACAGACGGATGGAATAGGTTGGGAAGTGCCCACTGGACGAAGAGATGGTAGAGTTTCATTGGCTTCAGAGGTGCGATTGCCTAGTTTTACAGATCCCATACGAGTTCAAAAGCAGAAGTTCAGTGCTAGGGGTCTCAACACTCAAGACCTCGTTACTCTTGTAGGTAACACTCAGGATTTCTATACTCATCCCTAATCACTTTGAAATCTTCTCGATTAAAATTCTCAATTAAATCATTTCGTAGTTTCTTAAAATTGGTTTATTGATGTACACTATTAAATTATAATTTATATATGAACTATTATGCTAATTAGCAGAAATGGATAGACTATCAATAGAGTGAATTTTGATAGGCTTATGRTGCACAAATGGTAATACAATAACAATTAAATGATATATCTAGCGTATTAAATCTACTGATATAGAGTTAATTAACATTTTCATTGTATTATCAAAAATAAATATATAAATATATAAAAATAAAAATAAAAATATCACTAATATCAACATAATATAATAATAATAAATTTTAACTTCCTTAAAAATGTTGGAYATGTTGTATTAATTTAAATAGTTTTACGAATTTCTTAATTTATATGATTTTTCAACAAGCATAYGTACAGATCGTTATTTTAATCTATACATTTCTATAAAATTGAGATTTGAAAATAATATTTAGACATTTACCAATAAGTAAAAAAATTGACTGCTATTTATTTATATTCTTTTCTTGAAAAAGATCTATTTTATCTCTCTTAGCTATCAAATTTTCAACTATGATAAAAGTGTGATTAATAAGAGKTACCTACTTATTCATTAACACTTAAATATTATTCTAAAATTCAGCTCATATTTTTTACCGACATCGACATTTAAAATTCTATGTACGTCACAATATTTGTTAATAAATTCTAAAAAATTACTTAACGAAATGACACCGTTAAAAATTTTAAAAGATTAAAGACAAAATTGAGAACGGTTACAAAATCATCCATTGTTTTGATGAACTGTTTGAATTAGGTGCCCACACCCTGGGCACCACAGCATGTAGGTTCTTCAGCTATAGGCTTTACAACTTCACCACCACCACCGCCACGGGCGCCGATTCGACGATCGAACCATCGCTCGTGCCTCAACTGCGAGCCCTTTGCCCGGAGAACGGGGACGACTCGGGCAGGGCAGACCTGGACATGGGCAGCCCGGACATATTCGACACGTCGTTCTTCTCAAACCTGAGGGACGGCCGTGGGATCTTGGAGTCCGATCAGATGCTGTGGAGCGACGACTCCACTCGCGCTGTCGTCCAGCGGTACTTGGGCTTTATKGGCCCAATGGGCCGTTCCAGCTTCAGAGTTGAGTTTGGGAGATCCATGGTTAAGATGGGCAATATTGATGTCAAAACTGGGACTCATGGTGAAATTCGTACCATCTGCTCTCGAGTTAACAAATAATATCAACTTATGTTATAATTAAGSATGGTGATGGGATGTTTATTTTTTGGGTTTTATTTTCTTTATAAGGTGAAAGCACACAAAGAGAATACCTTCGTGTTTTTTCTTTTAACTTCTGACCTTTTTGCTAATGATATGTGTCTCTTGGACTATATTTAAGTTGACACTTTCTTTTTATTGTGTGTACAAATAATGACGTTGTCGATTGCTTAGGGCATGTTTTGAGAGTGTTTTTTTTTTCATGTTTCACGATTACCAAAATTACTTACTTTGAAAAAAAAAAGATGTATGGCAATTAGAGTGATCGGTAGAGTAAGGATGAGAAAGGTAATTCTGGGTCAAGTGATTGACGGGTTTGCATTATTTCTGATGGGAAATTAATGGTCCTGAATAATTTTCCTTYCCACAGAAATATTCAAACACACACCACAATATGCAAATTAAAACACAAGAATACAACACAACAAAAATATATTGGTTCACCAACAAAGGGTTACGTTTAGTATTCCACTCAGATATGGGTAATTCACTAATATTGTCGAGAATTGGATTACAATAAACTCAATTACTTCGGTASAAGAATGAAAAACTCACAGAATAATTGAGAACAATTASTCCAAAAATATCAATCTCGATCTGCCCTTTCTGTGTTGCCAACACCCTAGCCGCCACCACGAAATTGCTACAAAAATGACCCATATATATGTCAAAAAATAGGGCAACATTAAATTGGGCTTTTGCCATTAATTTGTTTTCACTTCATTTTTTTTTTTAATCCAATCCCCAACCATCTCCCATTTTAAGACAAAATAACAATTTAGCTTCCCACTGCAACAACAGTGTCCGTTCATCTTGACAACTCTGCTGAGGCTCAGTTCTAACCACTGTTTAAAATGTCGGTCGACACATCGACATGTCGAGGGTCATGTCGACCACCTCGATATGTCATATAGAGGGGAAAATCGACGACATGTCGTTATATCAACGAAATATCGAAAATTCGTCAACATTTGTCAACAAATTTGAAAAAAGAAATTAATTTGTTAGTGCCAGACCCAAAATAAGAACTCGGTCCAGCGCAAAATTTATTATTGTTGTATTGCTATGCGTGGAGGAGGGATGGGAAGGGAGCGAAGTATTTATAGAGGATACTCCCTTCCCTCTCACGTTACCAATGGACGTGGGACAAACTTTATCCCACAACTTCACAAGTTTTATTTTTTTCTATTTTTTTTCTTTCAAAATTTAAATTTGTAATTATATTTTCTTCCCTCTTGTATTTCTATTCCTCATTTTTTTCTTTCTTTCTTCTTTTCTATTCCTCCTTTTTCTTTTTCTTTCTTTCTTATTTTTCTTTCTTTTTAAATTGCTCTAATATTTCTTTAAATTTTTTTAATATAAGTGGGATATTATTTTACTAATATTTATTTTAAGTATATTAAGTAATTTCTTTTATCCCTTCTTCTATTTCTCTTATATTCTCATCAAAATCATGAAAATTTATTTAAAATTTTATTAAGTGTGTTACTTGACATAAAAAGATCATAATATTGATATTAAATGTCTGGTTTAATTATGTAATTAAGAAATATATTTGATTATTCATTAATTTTCATTAATTTTATTTTCTTGCTTCGATATTTCCATATCGATGTCGACATTTTCAAAAGTAAATTGCTCATTTTTTTACCTACGATGACTAAAAGTGACTAATTATAGGCTAATTAAACTACCATTAAAGTAACAGTTACTAATTTAAACAATTTTCATCAATTTTTATAATTTTAGTGATTTTTTCAGAAATATCCGTCGACATCGACATGTCCATAAAATCGAGACCTCGGCATTTCCATCGACATCAAAATTTCGAACYTTAGTTCTAACTGCTTTGTCAACGAACTGATCCACACTGCTCGGCCCTCCCCAAGCTTTGTCTGATTCTGCCCCGAGACCGGGCAGCTCTACGTGGTCTTGTCCCCCAAACTTAGAGACATAGCCACGTACTCACACTTGATCGAAGTGGTTCCCACTGCTTCTTTCTTTGATCAATTCCACTGACATCTGAAAGAAGATTTACTCTCTACATTAGGCTTGACACTCCCACCCAAGCATGTCGCCACACTAGAAACAGAGCTCGTACCCTTCAATGCACTAATTTGCCCATGTAACTTCACCAGCTCGCTTGAATGTCTGACAGCTGAGGTCTGAACTCGATGGCCTATCAAATTCCCATTTCCTTTTTTTGTACTTCCCAACTGTTCAACTTGAGCTGATGGCAGATTCTTCTGATCTTTTCTGGCCATCAATGCTTCTAGTCTTCTAAGGTCTTGCCCTAAACCATCTGCAGTTACTCTGTGCATTCTCTGTCTTAGTGAACCCTTGGCAACCCTAAACTYTGACATATMAATATAAGATCTTTTGTGGCCTATTGCCACTATCCTAGATTTCCCTTTTGAGCTTCTAACAACCCCCAACAAACTCACTGTTGTAGCCACCATCGTCTAGCTTCCCTGTGGATAACAAATTCAATCTGAAGCTAGGAATATACCTAACGTCTCGCAACACCAACTTGGCCCCTTCACTTGTCTTCAAAMAAACATCTTCAATTCCTCTTCACTCYCATTTCCTATCCTCATTGAACCATAATCATCTGCAACAAAAGATGAGAACCAACGTCTGTCTGAAGTAACATGCRATGGTGCTGCAGTGTCCACTGTTGTAAAAGATGAGAACCAATTTCTATTTTCAAAATATCCTTAGGTTGATGACAAAATGAACCTAATCTTTTGTCTGATTCTTTTAGGATTCAACATTGACCATTTATACTGAATTTKAGGTTTTTTAAAGAGTATTATCATCGATAATGAATAAGGATTCGATTAAGGTTAAAGATAGATTCAAGCCTGAGTATGTTCAAGGAGTAAAATGTTTCATAGAATTGGCAAAACTTCATGTCAACAATACGGGAAAAACAAGATGTCCATGTAGATATTGTATGAATGTAAAGTGACTTTCAATTGATGGAGTAGAAAGACACTTGTTTATAAATRAAATATTACATTCATATACTCAATGGATATACCATAGAGAAGAACCAATCCCTTCAAGTTGTTATACAAGACATGAAACTCTTTCGCACAATGAATTAAGTAGAGAACACAATGTTATGAATAATGAGAATGGTGATATGTCTGGACTTCTCAATGATTTACAATACCTCATGGTAGAAGAAAATGTAGAAGGTGAACAATTTTGTTTTGAGACGGCCCCAAAAGAACATGGAAGAGACACGTCTAACAATTTTGAGCAGTTGTTCAATGAAGCGCGTAGTCAATTGTACCCAGGTTGTACAAAATTTTCATCATTGGATTTTTTTATAAAGCTGATGCATATCAAGGTCATTAACAATTGGAGTAATAAATCCTTTGATATGTTACTTGAATTGTTAAACGAAGCATTTACGATAGTTGCATCTATACCTAGTACATCATACGAGGCTAAAAGGAGACTGCCTGATTTAGGGCTTTCATATGAGTCGGTACATGTCTGCAAGTATGACTATATATTATTTAGGAAGAATATTCTGACTATCAAAATTGTCCAGTATGTGGTGAACCTCGTTATAAAAACAGTGATGGGAAAGCTTCACAAGTCCCCAAAAAATGTTATGACATTTTCCGTTGATACCAAGATTGAAACGGTTCTTTTCTTTAAAACATTTCGCTTCTGAAATGAGGTGGCATAAAGAAAAACGAGTTGAGACAGAGGGTGTCTTACGACATCCAGCTGACGCTTTGGGGTGGAAGCATCTAGATAGCACATTTCCTCGATTTGCTTCAGACCCAMGAAATGTTCGTTTGAGACGAGCTTCAGTTGGGTTTAATCCGTTTGGGAATACGAACAATTCGTATAGCATGTGGTCAGTGGTACTTATTCCATACAATTTGCCTCCTTGGAAATGCATGATGGAAAGTAATTTATTAATGTCATTGCTTATTCCTGGGCCGAAGTCACCTGGAAAAGATATCGACGTTTACTTACAGCCATTAATTGAAGAGTTGAAAGAGTTATGCGATACTGGGGTTCGTACTTACGATTGTGCAAGTGGTGAGTACTTTCAATTACACGCAGCTCTTTTATGGAGTATTAATGACTTTTCAACGTATGGCGACTTGTCTGGATGAAGTATGAAGGGATATCAAGCATGTCCCATCTGTAGAGAGGATAATTCATCTTTTCAAATAAGAAACAAAATTTGTTTCATGGGACATCTACGTTATCTTCCTCAAAATCATAGTTGGCGTGGGAGTAAACTGTGTGATGGAAAGTTATAACGATGCCCCCCACCAGTGTCAATGGATGGAGATGCGATTATTCAACAAGTAAATACACTGAATTTTCCAAATTTTGGTAAGAATCCAACAAAACAAAAGAGTAAAAGAAAGCGAGATTTAAATTGGACGAAAAAAAGTATATTCTTCGAACTTCCCTATTGGTCGAAACTTATGTTAAGACATAAGTTGGATGTGATGCATATCGAGAAGAACAAATGTGACAATATAGTAGGAACTTTGTTAAATATTGATGGTAAAACAAAAGACACAATCAATGTGCATTTGGATTTGGAAGATTTAAAAATTCGGAAAGATTTACACTTACAAAAAGAGGGGAATAAAGTTGTAAAATCGCATGCTACGTATACATTAACTGCTGCTGAGAGGGTGAAGTTTTGCAAATTATTGAAATCGACTAAGTTTCCAGATGGATTTGTTTCAAATATATCGAGATGTGTGAGCGTAGAGGATGAGAGGCTATGAGGGTTGAAAACTCACGACTGTCATGTTTTGCTACAACGACTCTTATTGATTGCCATTCAAGCATATGTATCAAAGTTTGTGGGTACGACTATCATTTAGCTATGTAAATTCTTTCGTGATATATGTGCAAAGACAATACGTATCAGTGATTTGGATCGATTGCAATCTGACATTATAATCATACTATGTAAGTTGGAGAGAATATTCCCACTAGCATTTTTTGATGTTATGGTAGATCTTGCAGTTCACTTACCATACGAAGCAAAAATTGTGGGGCCAGTTAGTTACAGTTGGATTGTACCCT